AACCCTAAACCCTAAACCCTAGGTTCCTTTTGTGACCTTCTTTTGGTACTTGCTTCTTCCAGCGGCGGCCTGAAATGGGGGACTCCGACTTTGGGGCGGCAGGGTTTAAAGGGAGGGTTTAGGTTAGGGGTCCGTTAAAGGGTACCATAAGGGCTCCTTTAAGGGATCTACAGGGTTTAGGGGGCGTGGGAGTTTAAGGTTTAGGGGTTCAGGGGTGTAAGGTTTTGGGTTTATCGGGTTTAGGGCTCAATCGCTTCCCCCTAATATTACTTAAAACGCCCGCCACCGAACATAAAATCTAAGTTCAGGGATTTTGGGTTAATATTAGGGGGGTCTCGGGGCATCCGGGTATGAGTCGGATTGAAAGTAATCAGTATTGAGCCAGCCCTAAATCCCTGAGCCCTAAACCTTGAGCCCTAAAGCTCTGGTACTTTCGGTTTCATTAGTAGTGCTGTAGTCTTGGCTCTATTAAAACTACCTAGACCCCCCAAAGTAAGTAAAATAATGGCCCAAAGCCTATAAAAGGCTATTATTCTACATACTTTTGGGGTCCAGGTAATACAATTCTATGCCCCCGTAACGTTTTTATTTAACTTTCAATTCTGGGCCCGAAACCGCGAAATCCCGGGGAGCCCCGAGGTTGTTTTATATTAGGGGGAGGTTGATTGTTAGGGGGAAGCGATTATAGCGTATGGGGTGTAGGGTTTTCGGTTAGAGTGTAGGAGTTGAGGGTATGGGGTTTAGGGCCGTCTAGGGGTTTACGAAGGAGTTTTGGTTTCGGAGGTGGGGTTGCTGGTGTTCGGCCTGAGATAGAAGCCTGAGTTAGTAGCAATGCTACGAACCCTTGTCTAATATCTCAGGCACCTCTGTTGCCCTAGACTCTTCGAGGTGTAGGCCTTGACCTTCGAAAACAGCTTGCTTGACGAATAGCGGTGAGGGGCAAGCAGCATAGTTGCCAAGTTTACGACACGTGTGTTTGGCTTAGGCTTGTCGAGGTTCGGTTTCAGGGCAGTTTTTGCGCTTTTAGGCTTTAGGCTTTAAAGCTTGAGATCACATGGCGAGCTACTTCCTGCTGAGCCACATCGAGCCAGTCCATCATGTGTTTGGATCCTGTATTCCGCGCCGCCCGGAAGGTGTCCCGCAAACGGTTGAAGCAGTACTCCCTGAACCCTAGTACGAGCATGACACAAGCGCGGAAAAAATCACCGACGCATCCACGCATAAGCGCAAGCTCCCGGCGAGAGTCTGCTCAAATGTACAGTTGTGCCTGTCTCTATGGTTTAGGGTTTATGAAACCTTGCGGAAACCCAGGTTGTAATTCATCTAATTAAGGTTCGGAAGCCTATAACTACAAAAGTTATGCCGTTGTGGTCCTTTGTATGACTGCAATAGGAATTAACCCCCCGAGAATTATTTCGGCCCGGCATTCAACCTCATAAATGATAAAACATTCAAGACCGTCGCCGCAGGGCCGTAGTCTACATACTAAGGCCCCCTATCTTGGTAAGCTTTCGAAACTATAACCCTTAAACTAACTCCAAGCCCCAAACCCCGACCCGCTCCAAGCCCTAAAACCCAGCATCCTAAAATCTCAAAACTAAATGCACAACCCTGCATTAGAAGCCCAGAAGTTGGAAACCCAATATATTCAACAGCTTCAATCCTTAAGAGTAATGTATAAGGAATCCCAGCACTAACTGTCCTTAATCAGGTTTCCAATTTTTGGGGTTTACTGTAAACCCTAAACCATGCGTTCTAGGCCTCAAAGCCGCTTGCACTGGTCCTGGATTGCCTCTTCGGTGAGGAGATGGGCCAGGTAGGGCTTTTGGCAACTGGGGGGTTTAGGGGTTTAGGGTTTAGGGGTTTAGGGTTTAGGGATTTAGGGTTTAGGGGTTTAGGGTTTAGGGGTTTACGGTTTAGGGGTTTACGGTTTAGGGGTTTAGGGGTTTAGGGTCTAGGCCGTGTCTATCTATCGCTATCTCCGTCTTCATCACAATCTCCATCTGATCTTCTATCTCAACCTATATATATATATATATATATATATATATATATATTTGTCTGTATCTCTTGTTCTCTCTGTCTGATATGTATATATATATATATATGTATATACACATACTTATATACGTATCGCACAAGAACGAGAGTCGAATTTCAGAACGCAGCCGAGTCGAATCGAATCCAACATAACCCACAAAACGCAGTCGGGCGATAAGCCACGTGTAGATTGTTTTCCAGGCTAGTACATGTTGTAGCACACTATGATATACAATGTGCCACTCTACACAGAATAGAGCTGCATCTGCGAATTTCCTACATTTCCGAAGCCCAAAAAATCCAGACCCCAGGTAGAACCCTTAACGGAGCCCTAAACGCAAGCCTTGATAGCGTCCTTATCAAGTTGAAAAAACTCCACGTTCGTGACCCTAAGCCCACAACCCTTGTAGAACCCTTATGGGATAAGATTACCCAATACATCCCAGAACCCTATTCTAATACTTAAGGGTCCCTGGACCGTAAAACTTTATACTGGTAGCACCCTTTACAGAATCTTTACGGAACCCTGCCGAGAACCTGAATATGAGCCCTTACCTGAGCTCAAAACACCAGGTGCTCGACCGACATCAGTTCATGACCCTCATCGACTACCAGAGGAAGCAAGCTCCCCATCTCCTCTCAGAGGAGGAGGCCGAAAGGGGGTCGGTTTAGGGTTTAGGGCTTTTGTGAGGAAGTTTCGGGTTCAGGGGTCCTTCAACGGCTTTAAGGACATAATTGTTATTTTTGCGTAAAGGGCTTGAGATTTAGGGTTTGGTAAAGTTTAGGGTTCAGGGGTCCTTCAACGGCTTTAAGGACATAATTTGTTTTTTTTGCGTAAAGGGCTTGAGATTTAGGGTTTGGTAATATAGCAGTCTGAATTGAACAAAAGTTCTGGTATTAGTCCTTAGGGCTCGTTGTAATGTTTATGACCCGCCCCATAACGCCCAGAGAACTAGATTACCGAATACCAAGCGGGCGACAGGATCCTATGGGGCAAGAATTCGAGGGGTTTTGTAGAAGATCGTTGGACTAGGGTTCAGGTACCGGCTTACCAAGATCTATTGATTGAGGCACCAGCATTTGCTGAATATCCACTCCTTTCGAAGCCGGACCTGGTAAAGTGGTTCAACCTTAAACCCTACACCCTATAAGCCCTATTGTCTGGGGGCTTTCAGGCAGCCGTAGTGGTGTATGTGCAGTCGGAAAAGAGCCCTCAACAAAACGAGAATTACTAGGTTGCCCAGCAGTTCCCGTTTGCCTTGTTTCTGTTTGGGTTCAGTAATAAGAAGCAAAAGTTGTAAACACAATAAGGGTGCCCTTATGGTCAGGCTGCTAAGGAAGCTAGGCTAAAGCATGAACCCAAGTACGACGCAGCTCCGAAAGCCGGCGAAGCAACTGCATGGAGTATTGGTGGATCCTCCTGAAACCCGAAGCCATGGGATTGAAACGGTTCTTACAGTGTAATCATAATCGGGAGCCCTAAGGTATAGTACTGGTGGATCCTCCTGAAACCCTACTGTAAGAAGGCCCTAAACCTTAAATCCTTAAACCCTAAAAAGAAAACTGAACCCCTAAACGCCCAATGCTAAGTCCAAAGCCCTAGGACATGGGCTGGGTGTTACGATGTAGGGTTGTGGTGGCAAAAGGGGGCCTGAATGATTACACGAAGGTTTGGGGGCATAGTCAAGGTTCTTAATTACAGTATACTTAAGATGATATTGGTAGTTGTTCAGTTGTTCAGGCCGCTGTGTATATTAACAGTTTCGGAGCTTTAGTGCGGTGAAGCTTCAGGGAGGCACATGTTTCCGAAAACAAGGGACCCTAATATAGTACCCTAAATAGTAGGACCTTATTATTATTATTATTATTATTACTATTATTACTATTATTATTATTAGGACCTTAAAATCAGGTACCCCGAATTTTCGGAAGCTCCCACATTGACAAGATTTTCTCGGGTCCCGGGTTTCAGGATTCGGGCCCTAGGTTTGGGGGTTTAGGGGTTTAGGGTTTAGGGGTTGTGGTTTAGGGTTGTACAGTTCAGGCCTTAGGGTTCGAGTTGAGGTTTTAAGGTTTTTGTGGGTTGCAAATCTTGGCCCATGGTTTCAGCTCTACCTAAAGTCACTTTGTAGCTGTTCTTGTTGTACGTAGATATTTTTGGCTTAGAAAGCCTTTCCTTAACACCAAGCCACGAATTTTGGTTTGGAACCCTCCAATCTTTGTTCAGGGTTGGAACCCTCCAATCTTAAGATTTGATCAGGGTTGCACGGGGTGGCCGCCTTAAGTCAAATTTCCCTGGAGTGCGGAGGCTTGTAGGTTTCGGGAAGTGAGTTAGCAGTTCTGTACGGGTTCCCAGCGGGTTCCACAAGGGTTCTGCAACGGTTTAACAGGAGCTTGCTAGCTCTGAGGCTCAAGAAGGACCTGATCATAGCTTTGCGCGAACCCCTCATCTCAGAGCATCTTCGTCAGCCAATAAACCCAGAACACTCAACTAAACCCTCCACCTCCACCCTAAACCAGACAAATCAGCACTTCAGGTCTTGAGCCCTGCGACCTGAGATCCTAGACCCACGACTCCAAACCCTGAACCTGCTCGAGCGCTTGACTAAACCCACTGCTGGTCTTAAGACCCTGGTAGTAGAGTAGGTAACCTTAAACCGTTTCTGGGTAGTATAGCCCCTATACAATCCCCATATAACCAAAAAGGTTAACCTGTAGTTCCCCATGATACCCGACAAGTAGGAGACTGTGAAGCTCTGAAGCTGTCAGGTAAAGGGCAAGCATTAAACCTGAACCCAACCCACAACTTTCAGTCAGATGCACAATCGCAGAATTCGCAAACCCCAAAGCGCGAAGCAGCGAGCTGACAAAATGAAACCGTCGAGTGAAAATCAACTGTGGATGCGAGTTGATGTACATCCCGAAACCCTAGCACCCTTAGTGCCAATGTGGGCTTTGCCATGTGGCCTCTCGTTCTCTCCCTCTCCGGGCTTGCTCCTGGACTTCAAACTTGAAGCGGCAACACGCGGATCCAAGTACTTAGTGGAAATGTTCCTGTGTAGTCCATGTATCCATTGGTAAAAGGACGGACCCTTAATCAGGACCCCTAGGTATATAACCTTAATATAGCTGTTATATACCCAATATATATCCCAATATAGGGTAGGGTCCCCATAAAGGGTCCCTCTTTTCCCTTTTGAATGTAATTAGTATAGTGGCGCCCAGATCGTCTTCCAACTCTTGAGGCCCGTACACGTTGTTCTGTAAGTCCCGAAGAGGACCGCAGGCAAAACACTTCCTTACACCGTAGTCAAGAGGCAAGATGGAAATCTACTTGAGGGGAAAGGGTTTCAGGCATAGGGCATAGGTGTTTGAGGGCTTTGTGGGATTTTGGGGATCTTCCTTACTTCAAGTATAGGCAGCATAGGGGCCTGAATAATGAGTGATGAATGAATTAAGCAGCGGAATAACTACACATGTTCTTCCTCAAGGTCTCACATTATAATTTTGCTGTGCGCGACCCGTCAACCTCTATTCTAATTATGAAGGCCCCCGTTTTAGACTTGCCTCATGAGGGCTCAGCAGTCCTCACAGAACAGACATACTGTCCCTCTAAGTTCTGTTCTTTTTGAACATAGTGTCACAAAGTTTATGAGGCCCCTATACTGCTGCAATTATCCGGTGAAGATCAGGATCAATGAGCAGGTGAACAAATATCATATGTTATCACATATTAGCACAAGTTCGTAAGTCTAGTTATTGAGGCCGCTATAAATATTGTTCAGTAAACCGTAGGCCGCGGTAATATTTTGAACTACAGAACCTTTGTTGATCAAGTATTATATACCCCAAAACCCGCACTCTAACATTGGTTGATTGCCCCTGTATTATATAGAACACTATATTGAAAAACCCTCATAGCAACCCTTAATGGGGACATGAACAAAGGGGCACCCCTCACTCTGCAAGCCTTAAGCAAAACCCTGGAAACGGGAACCCAGATCATGTAACAACCCACATAACCCTCTTGTATGTATGTGTGACTATGGCACCTCATGGTAGCGTCCTGAATCCCAGGCAAACGCAGACCAGCTTGCGCAACCCGCCGCAGAAGTTATTAGGTTTGGGTTTTTTCGAGCACGGGATACCAGTTGTTTCTTTGTTCGGGTTCAAGACTGCCCCATGTGTCCATGTACCTCTACATGGGAGTGTCCGAAAATTGAGGTAATTACCTTACTTAGGGATCCTTACAATGAGGATCCTACTGTTTAGGTTACTATCTTAGGGTCCTCCATTTTTGGAAACTCCCATATGTAGACTGTAAAGTTCAAGTTGCTATGTAGGAACATACAGGAACCCGTTCAAGGCAAAGACCTAAAAATGTACAAGGCGTATGGACCCTTAGGGCCTTAGGGTTAGGGTTCCGGAATTTACGCAGCGAGAACAGTTATCGAAGTCTAGCTTTTGCAGATCGGTAGGAAGCCCATTTTCCGGGTTGCTGCTGTGTGGTTTAGGGTTTATTGGCTTTTTAGGGTTTATGATGGGCGGGTTGTATAGAGTCTAGGCTGTATAGAGTTTAGGGTGCCCCCAACAAGAAATCAGAAAGGCATTAGAGACAAAGTAAACGTCCGTGACCAGAACCAAGGTGCCCCCTGTATGGGTATGCAAGAGTAGGAAGAACCGTATGTAACTCCCCCTCGAGCCCCACGTATAAAAGCAGCGCCTACTTTGGGGTCAAATTTTGCCTGCTCTGAGCCGCACGCCATAGGACAGTAGCTCCTTATCGTGCGGGGTTTCGCTTTCGCGAAAATGTTCCCTTGTTCCGAACACTTTAGTGCCGCGATACCCGCCCCCCCCATGCCCAACAGCTGGCTACTTCCCCTTTGAACCCTAAACCCTAAACCCTGAACCCGAATCACTTAATCGCCCCGCGTGCGATTCAGGTTGCCGGACTGCACCCACGAAATCTGCCCCTCAACGAAGTATGACGACGACGTGGGGATCCCAGCGGGCGTTTGATAGCTTAGCGCATCATCTGTCGCCCTTATAGTAACCCTTATGGACCCCTTATAGTAAGTATTATGGACCGTTATAGTAAAGCTTATGGACCCTATAGTACCCCTTATGGACCCTTATAGTAAGCATTATGGACCCTTATAGTAACCCCTAGGGACCCTTATAGTAAGTCAGTATTAGGCACCCTTAAAGAACCCTTATGAACCCTTATCGTAACCCTTATGGACCCTAATCGTAACCATTGTGGACCCTTATAGTAACCCTTATGGACCCCTTATAGTAAGTATTGTGGACCGTTATAGTAAAGCTTATGGACCCTATAGTATCCCTTATGGACCCTTATAGTAAGCATTATGGACCCTTATAGTAACCTCTAGGGACCCTTATAGTAAGTCAGTATTAGGCACCCTTAAAGAACCCTTATGAACCCTTATCGTAACCCTTATGGACCCTAATCGTAACCATTGTGGACCCTTATAGTAACCCTTATGGACCCCTTATAGTAAGTATTATGGACCGTTATAGTAAAGCTTATGGACCCTATAGTATCCCTTATGGACCCTTATAGTAAGCATTATGGACCCTTATAGTAACCCCTAGGGACCCTTATAGTAAGTCAGTATTAGGCACCCTTAAAGAACCCTTATGAACCCTTATCGTAACCCTTATGGACCCTAATCGTAACCATTGTGGACCCTTATAGTAACCCTTATGGACCCCTTATAGTAAGTATTGTGGACCGTTATAGTAAAGCTTATGGACCCTATAGTATCCCTTATGGACCCTTATAGTAAGCATTATGGACCCTTATAGTAACCTCTAGGGACCCTTATAGTAAGTCAGTATTAGGCACCCTTAAAGAACCCTTATGAACCCTTATCGTAACCCTTATGGACCCTAATCGTAACCATTGTGGACCCTTAGAGTAACCCTTATGGACCCCTTATAGTAAGTATTATGGACCGTTATAGTAAAGCTTATGGACCCTATAGTATCCCTTATGGACCCTTATAGTAAGCATTATGGACCCTTATAGTAACCCCTAGGGACCCTTATAGTAAGTCAGTATTAGGCACCCTTAAAGAACCCTTATGAACCCTTATCGTAACCCTTATGGACCCTAATCGTAACCATTGTGGACCCTTAGAGTAACCCTTATGGACCCCTTATAGTAAGTATTATGGACCGTTATAGTAAAGCTTATGGACCCTATAGTATCCCTTATGGACCCTTATAGTAAGTATTATGGACCCTTATAGTACGTAACCCTTATGGACCCTTATGGTAAGTCAGTATTAGGCACCCTTAACGTAACCCTTATGAACCCTTATAGTAACCCTTATGGACCCTTATAGTAGCCCTTGTGGAACCTTATAGTATCCCTTAGAGTAAGTATCCCAGGGCTTGTCTTGAGGGGATGAGGTTACTTGGAGGGTCGGGGGACTTAGTAACTGGTTATTTTAGGGACTTATAAGTACCATAACCCCAATTAGGGTCCCTTTTAGGGTACTTATAAGTCTACTTACTACCTACTTACTAAGTCCCGCGACCCTCCAAGTAGGATCCAAGGGTTTTGGCTGCTCAGGTCTTCGAGGTTTGTTTGATTCCCACAGCTCACAGTGCACCGGGTTGTTTAGGGTTTAGGGGTTTAGGGGTTTAGGGGTTTAGGGGTTTTGGGTTTAGGGTTTAGGGGTTTTGGGTTTAGGGTTCAATTGTGTTGGGTTTTGAGTTTAGGGGTTTAGTTTAAGGGTTTAGGGTTTGAGGGTTTTTTCGAAGCCCATGCTGTGATGGGGGAGAACTCCATAAAACCCCGCGCAGAGCCCTGTGCTTACTGCGATCTGATCCCTTCGAATCGAAACGCGTAGACAGTAAACTCCAGACACCGAAACATTGAATCCCTGCACCCCAATGCAAAGCTTTTCATGAAGCCTTTCCAAAACCTTTTTTGGTAAACCCAAACACATACTCTTGGAATCTGCCCTAAACTCTAAACCTCAAGGCTTAGACGTTGACCCTGTCCCGCAACAACCCACGCCAGACCGAAATTTCTGAACCCCCATCCAGAACCCCGAACACTGGCCTTTTTGAAACCTTAAATGACGCTTAAAGCCATGGTAACCGCGTATGTTTACAAGGCCCCGAAACGATAGAACTCTATGAGCCACCCTACAACACAAGCCTCCACAACAAACGCTGTTAAGCTTGCAGTAAAAGTCAAAACCCAGAGGCTCCATATATAGTACCATTATGGAATTAGGTCCCAAATGTCATGGCTTTTGGGACCTACGGTTGATGATATAAATCCTGCATGACCCATAATAAGGAATATACCATAGTTTCCATAGTGTAGGATCCTTAAGGTAATGCAGGATTTATATCATCAACCGTAATTCCATAATGGTACTATATATGGAGCCTCTAGGAAACCCTGAAGTCCAACCCGAGGCGCCAACGCCTTTGGTTTGCGAGGAGAGCTGGGGACCCCTGGGGCCCCTAAGGCCCTAAAGCCCTTCCCCCAAAGGGTCCTACGGTGGATGATATAAATCCTAGGGCTCCTGTAAAAGGGATCTATAGGGGTACCTTTAAGGGGCTCCTTTAAGGGATCTATAGGGTTTTAGGGTTTAGGGTTTAGGGTTGATGATATAAATCCTGCATTACCTTAAGGACCCTAAGCTATGGGAATTATGGTATATTCCCTATTAAGGGTAATGCAGGACTTATATCATCAACAGTATGTACCTAGGATGCCCAGTAGTACCCTTATTCCCTTTTTGTAGTCCTAGGTTCCTTATCAAGTTACCCAATACCAAAAAGAGAGGCCTTTTTATTCTTAGGTTACTGGGTATCCTAGGTACTGTTATGGGGAATACTTCCCCGAATCATAATAGTAATTCCTAATATAGAAACCCTACATTCTACTATATCGGTACTTTGGACCCTTTGGGCTTAAAACCCCAAAACCCTACAGCCCCTGAGCCCCATAAGGCCTAAACCCCAAACCACGTACATCAAAACCTCGAACCCTCCTAAACCCTTGGACGGACACCCTCCAAGCCCTACGTTCGATAAGCCCGAAACCCTAAACTCCCAACGCTATCCGAAAGCCGTATGCCTAATTACTAGTTAGGTCCTTTGGACCCTTAGGGTATTCCCTGAACCTTTACACTCCAACGCCTAAACCCCATAACACCTTAAAGGCGCTGAGTCCAAAGCCCTGAAACCCGAAACGCGACGCCATGAACCCCGAAAGCCTTGAAGCCCTACATCCTAAGCCCTAAAACCCGAAACTCTCGACCCTAAACCCGTAATTAAAGTCCTAAACCCCTATAAGTCCTAAGCCCTTGGAGTAGACCCTAAACCCCTAAACCCCGAAGTCCTAAGCCCTGTCAACCCTAGAGGTAGACCCTTATATTGCGTCCTAAGCCCTAAACCCTACAAGTAGGCCCTTTTTAAGCCCAAAACCCTGAAGTCCTAAGCCCTAAACCGCCTAAAGCCTTCTTTCGTCTGCGAGGAGGCCCTAAAATCCTGAGCCCTAAGGCCTCGAAAGCCCTTTGGTCTGCGAGGAGAGCCTAAAATCCTAAGCCTAAGTAGACTCTAAAACCCAAAGCCGCTGAAAGAACCCTAAACGCTAAACCCTTAAACCCTAAACCCTTGAACCCCAAACCCCATACCATAAACCCTATAACCCCTTAAACCCTAAACCCCGAACCATAAACCCCAAGCCCTAAGCCCCGGAAAGCCCTTCTCTGCTCTGTGAGGAGAGTCTCGGACTCCTGGAGCCGGAGTACTTCCGTGCCTGGGCGAAGAAGGGCAAGGAAGGATTTAGGGTTTAGGAAGTTTAGGGTTTTAGGGTTTTGGGGGTTCGGGGGGTAGGGTTTTAGGGTTTGTGGGTTTAGGGTTTAGGGTTTGGGGGGTTAGGGTTTAGGGTTCCTTTTAAGCGGTCCTTTTCTTAATTGGAACGCTATTGTAGAACCCTAGGGTCGCTTCTTGTTTTAAGAGCCTATAAGTACAAGGAAACCATAGTCAGGAACCCTAGGGAGGCAGGTTTCTTAGAGCCGAGGTCCCTAGGTAAACCCTAAACTCCTTAACTCCCGAGGCTATTGGCCTTCTAGGCATTTGCGGACGGTGCAGGGCTTGGGACTTAGGGTTTAGGGATTGGGATTTATGGGTTCAGTTTAGGGTGTTCAGGGCTTGGCGCTGTCCGGACTCCATGCTAAAGACTCCAAACCGTGAAAGGCCCAAAGCCGCAAGCCCCAGCATGACAACCCTGAAGCCTCAAAGCGCTGCCGCTGCAGCCTAAATCTTCCCGAGGGGCGGCGCTTATAGAACCCACAAGCACTAAGAAAACCGGAAATGACCCTAAAGAACTCATAAAACCCGACTTTGCCATGCTCAGGAAAGTTTGGCCGCTGGCAGAAGAGGCTGGAAGTCACATATTGAACCGGGATTGGGGGCTTAGGGCCTTGCGGGTTTAGAGTTTGAGGGTTAATAAGGACCCCCAGGTAATATACCCTTAATATAGCCATCATATACCCATGATATAGCCCATTATAGGGTAGGGGTCCCCATTAAGGGTCCCTCCTTTGTTTAGTCCTGGTTGTGGGTTGGGTGAGGCCTTTGGGCTGCGCTGCGTAAGGTTCAGGTTGGGAGTTTCGAAGGGGCTCGTGTCTGTGTGAAGATGACAGGTTGTTGAGCGTCACTCTAAAGATGCTAATTACCCACAGTTCAGGATGGGGAATGGGGTTTGAGGTTCCAGCTTTTTTGAGTTTTTCGCCTCTTGCACTCATAGGTGTGTTGGAGTTGTGTACGACGGCTGCAGGATCAGCGAATAGTATAATGTTGGAGTTTCTGAATCAACACCGGCACGTATGCCCCCCCTGATAGAGCGCTCAGACAAGCGAGGAAAACCGCTTTCAATTCTTTTCTTCAACGCCCTCAGCCGACAATCGGCTTGTCTTGTAAGCCTTTCTGCAAAGCTTACAGACCCAAAGGGTCCTATGTACTGTTATGGGGGATACTTCCCTAAGTCATATTAGTAATTCCTAATATGGAAACCCTACATTCTACTATATCGGTACATTGGACCCTTTGGGAGAAGCTTGCAACGCTATGCTTCAGATTCCACCTGGCACCCAGATGCTTCGGGAGCTGTGCAGATGGCCACGATCGCCTGGGCCGTTTGGATAACTACTATTTGCTTAAGAACCCCCAAAAAATAACAAATATATTCCTTATGGGGGTAATATAGGGATTATTATTTTTATTTTTTGGGGGTTTCTTAAGCAAATAGTAGAATAATGTCGTCGTAGTTCAGACTCAGCTGTCGATCCTTCGCATGTGGCCCACTCATCTCTGTCTCGTGTCTTGGCATCTTCAGGGTGTTGCCCTGGCACTTTGCGAACCCTAAGGGTCCATGTACTCATATAGTATATACATTGGCCTTAATGTAGTCCCTATAAAGGTACTTTGGGGCTCATGTATCTCTATTTGGGTACATGGACCCTTAGGGGAACCTCTCTGTGGAAGCGATGGCCGCGATCGCCTGGTCCGCTTGGATTACGTCGTCGTAGTTCTGCCCATGCTTCGTGTGTGGCCCCTACGTGAGCCCTGTGAGTAGGTCCAGCTTAAGCTATGTTTGCGAGCTTCTGAGATTTTGCTGGGAGTTTGCTACAACCCTAATTATCCCTCAACCCTATACCCTTAAACCCTAAACCCTAATAATCCCTGATCGCAAAAATCCCTAAGCTCCTTTGGGAGGTATGGCCGGGACAACCTCGACCTCTCCCTGCATTTCCTGGAGGAGAGCCTTTGGGGGAGCTACTCGGTTTAGGGTGTAGGGTTCCTGTTTCGGAATTGAACTCAAATTGCCATTATCGAGATCTATCGTGAATAGTAGGGATTTTGGTAACTCAAAATGACTCCTGAGCTTGCCCACGCATACCAGGTGTTTCCATATAGGTCCTCCGGGGTGGGTTTCAGGACCAATCATGAATTCAATTGTACAGGTTGTATGGATATTATAGAGTGTTTAGGAGCTTGGGTTTGGATTTAGGATTTTTAGGATTTGGAGTTTAGGTTTTAGGCTTTAGGAGGTAAGGTGGAAAGTGTGGTATGAAATCCAGTCGAACAGCATACTGGGAAGGGGTTGTCGCGAATCGGGTTAGGTTTGCAGCCATGCTTGTCAGTAGTAGCCTATTCGCTCCGATATGGGTGGTTGTCAAAATTATGGTCCCTTTTTGGGTCCTTAATATAGTACGGCACCTAATATTTAGGGTACCCCCAAAAGGGACCATAATTTTGACAACCACCCATATGGATCTTGGTATAAGAGTGGCCCCACGACTCCGAACATCAGCCCACCTACCGAGCAAGTTCAAGCCTCATCGTTTGCATGTAGTTTGGGGCTTTGGGTCCTAGGATTACAGTAAGCCTTTCGGGCGCTGCGGTATGCGCAGCCGTGCAGCCCAAGCCCTACCTAGAACCTGAAGAACCTACCTTTTTGGGGTTCCTTATTAAAGTTTTCTTATGTAATTCCTTAAGGTAGGTTATTTGGGGTTGAGGTAAATCCTGAACCCCCAAACCCCCAAGAACCGAAGCTTGCGCTCCAGGAGGTCTTTGAATCGCAGCTGGAGCCACGCATTCAAGAGGCGGAGTGGCAACGTGAAACAGCTTCAATCCCGATGCCTGAGCGTTTATATCAGTCTTGATTCAGTTTCAAGCTCCGCAGTGATCAGAATCTTTGCTCCCTGAACGTAGCTTTACGCGCGCATGGGGGCAAATCCTCTGTGCTTTGGGTGGCGCAGTATGCTGGTTCCCAGTGTCATGAATCAGAGAGTAGCTCGCTTGGCTTGTCAGCCACATAGGAGTGGGAGTGTTTCTCTTTCTCGGTGTGTGTTTCTAGAATGTGGAGGTCGGAAGAACTATCAAGACCCAGGGTTCCGTATGATAACTGTACCTTCTACCCCAAAACCATCTCCTCACTATTTTTTGGTATATGTTTTTCACTTGTCTAAAATATGTTTCGGTGTACATGCACCGACAGACTGACAGATCGCTTGGTCACGGAATCTTCGTGAAGTAACAGTTTACTTATTCTCTCCGTTGTAGTTCCTTATTTTGGGAAAATGGAGACTACAGGTATTGCCAGAGCCACTCACTACTTGGAGGTTCATGGGTAGTTACAAGCAGGGCTATAGGTAGGGTAACTATACTTATAACCCGAATAGGGGACTTACAACCCCACCTTATTATGACTATCCATGAACCCTCAAAGTACGAATCACTCTGAAAGCCGTACGCTCTCCTCAGTCATCATAAAGCCCCAACAAGGCCTTTGTCGAACCGTCGTACTGTACTACCCGTGCAGCAGACGTAGAATCCTTTTTGGACCCCTATCTCCCTGTACGAACGAACGCCCTTATGGAAACCGAACCTTTAAGTCTCAAAACCTTATAAAGCCGCAATAGAGCCCTTATGTAAGCCTAAACCCTAAACCTTATAAAGCCCGAATAGGGCCCCTATGTGTTCTTAGATTCCCAAATCCCAACACCCCCCTCAAAGCCATGGATACCTCTGAGGAGCCCTGCGCTCAAAGCCCTCTTTGTGCTTTCTGAACCCCCAGTACATCCCAGTACAATATGCATAAGTAAGCCCCTATTAGGGTTTAGGGTTTATATATGATATATGGAACTAAAATAACAGAGAAAGCCTTATGTGAACGAGATATAGCATCGAACGCCAAAAACTGCGCTCTAAACATCACCCACAAGCCCGTAGCTTGCGTTTCCTGGCGAGACTGCAAAAAGAAATTTTAAAAAAGACCATCATTTTAAACACAATCTTGTTTTAACAGCCTCTTCTGTCTCGGAGGCATTGGAGAGCTGCCCGGCAGTCGTGCCCGGAGACCCTGTGGCTGCGCCAAGGGTCGCGTTGTTGCTGCGATTGTTGCTTCGCGCGCGTATATGAGTATGTTTGTGTGTGAGCGCGCAGTATTTGTTTGATTTACGTACATGTTGAGTTGTTTCTTTTTCTTATCTGTCTGCCCCATATAAAAAGTTAAGCTCATAGAATCTGATTGCACCGGGTTGCGTGCTTCTCCTGCATCTCTTAGGTTGAGGGGTTCAGGGTTCAGGTAGTGAATAACGGAACAGCACGCTACTCGAAACAACACTGCCAATATGTCCTATATACCACCCACATCGCACTCCTCAACGGAAATCGTTCAGAGCACTGTAACAAGGGAACATGAAACTGTCTTGCATATACTCTGGCCTCAAAGCGGTTCGTATGTAGGTATTTTCAGGGCAGGGCCTACACAAGTTCACGATCCCTCTATAGCTGATGGACAGACACATGCCTGAAGATACACGTAACTCATTACTTCAGGTAGTGCCGGATTTTGTCTTGCGGAGAAAGCGGTTTGGCAGCAAATCTAGTCTCCAACCCATTTCTACTTCATAGGTTTCATAATCATATCGGCCTTTAGATGTTAGGGTGTGGGGGTTAGGGAAGCCCTAAACCCTAAACTGGGTTCTTGTTAGGGAACTTGAGTGAATGTTGCCATAATCAGGGTTCCATATTATAGGATTTTGAACACGATGATGGAAACTTGAATCCCACTCCTTAAGAGACCAATAAACCCTCGAGAGTCTAGGACTTCAAGATCAGAGTTTTGGGCCTCAGGGTTTCAGTTGTTCGAGCCGCTTCGGAAGCCCTAACCCTGCACCCTAAATCCTAAACCCAAGCCCTAAACCCTAACCCTCACAAGTAGGTCCTAAGCAAGGGGTTAGTTCTTGGAACCAGCCCTAACCCTATAGACCCTAAACCCTAACTTCGAGGTTGGAGGTGATGATGAACTCCGTGCTCCTTGTGGAGACAAGGCCCTCCGCAGAGAGACCACGAAAGGGCTGAGCCTCGGTAATGTGGGGAGAATACTTGGAGGTTCAAGGGTAGTTATAAGTAGGGTTATAAGTAGAGTAACTACACTTATAACCCATATTAGGGCTTATTACCCCACTTATAACTACCCATGAACCTCCAAGTAGGGCTCCTTGCACTGAGTCTTCTAAAAGGGTTACTATACGGGATCGAAAGTGAGGGTTCTACAATGTAGGGGCTTTAATAATTAGAATAGGGCTCTCAGGTATATTTATACTAGAATTTTAATAAGGAGCCCCCCAAACCCTATTTTGATTATTAAGGCCCCTACATTCGGGCAGTGGAATCTTGAGGCCTTTAATCCTTATAGGGCCCTTCAGGATTAAGATTTAGGGCTTAGGGCTTAGACACTCGCTAGGGACCTGGTTTCTGGGTTTCCGGTTTATTGTTTGTTGTTGAGACGGTCCCTTTGCTCATGCTAAGCAACGGTAGGAAAGCGCAGTTTTTTGAAGCAGAACGAGATTTCCTTCACAACGCATGGAAATCAATAACGCGCACAGCCAATCCTGAAGCTCTAAGCCATAAACCCAAACTTAAACTTGGGATCCACCTTTCCCGATCCACAATCCTCGACCTTGAACTCCCATACCCTGCATAGAAGCCGAGCTACCTGTGAGAAATACCAACCTATCGTACAGGTAGCTGGGCTACTTACCTAGGGAACCCAAGCCCGTCCCATGTTTTGGGGGTTGAAAACGAAGCTTACTTTTGGATTAGATCATGCCCAATATAGAGCCCGGCAAAAAATTTAAATTTGTGGGTTCCCAACATAGGTGCGTAAATTCCTTCGCAGAAATCAACATTGCGAAACTGAAGGCCCACGCCCGCAAACAAACTTATGTTTATGTTCTGCATCCTAACCCCAAACCTCGCCGCGACGTGCCAATACTGAAAACCAATCTCTGAACCCCACGTACAGCACTTATAGACATTGTATATAAGGTTTATCACTCGATGACCCTAAGGGTCCATGTACCGAAATAGTACATACTTTCGTCCCAGCGTATCTATATAGGGGTTACTTTAATTTAAGGCCACAGTTTTACTATTTGGGTCCATGGACCCTTAAAGTCTTAAAGCGTAAAACCCTTAAGGAGCCCAGGAAGATCCTTCAAGGAAGCCTACATGGGCAGTTGTCACGATTGGGTCCCCTTTTGGGTAACTTAAATAGTAGGTGCCGGATTATATTTGGGAACCAAAGGAACCATAATTTTGACAACAACCCATATGAAAACATGGACATGGAGCCTTGCGGTGTAGGGTCTAGGGCAAGATACGTGACAGTCACCAACCCATAGGCTCCATGTACCTTCATAGAGGCTCCATATATAGTACCATTATGGAATTAGGTCCGAAAAGCCATGATATGGATGGTCTTTTGAGACCTAATTCCATAATGGTACTATATATGGAGCCTCTGGGTTTATAGTAGATACTTACCTTAACCCTGAAGAACCTACCGTTTTACGGACTTCTACAAGGAAATCAAACTAGGGAACCCAAAAAGGTAGGTTCTTCAGGGTTAAGGTAAGGCTTAAAGGGGTCCCTATATGGGTTCTTCAAGGCCTAAGTATATACTATATCGATCCCTCCAAGGACCTCATAGTTAGGGCCATAGACCCCTTAAGGACCCCATAATAAGGTCCCTGGAGGCATAGGGATACTATATGGATGCATGGAGCCTTAGGCAAAGTCCCCATCTCCCCAGGGACGGCCTACGAGCTGCCCAGCGGTTTCTACTTCAGATCTTCCGACGCGCAGAAGCACAGGCTTTAGGGCTGTGAAAGGCGTTTTGAGTTCGTGAGTGTTTGGAGAGGGGCGTGCTTAGGGTTCTTGCACGGTTTCGTAGAGATTTAGGATTTTACAGTTTTGTATATCATGTCTAGGGTTTTGGTTTAGTATTAGGTTTTGAAGTATAGAGGGATATTTTGGTTTTGCGCTGCGGGGTGTTTGCCGTTTGGGGGCAGGGAGTTGTGGATTCGGCTATTGAGTTCGGAGTTCCGGAGCTTAGCTTGTCGGTTTCGGATGTGTTTGATTGTTTTGGGGTCAAAGGACAGTTAGCCAGATTCGCTCTCTGCCGAAGAGCCCTAAACCCCAATAAGACCCAAATCACTAAACGGCGAACCCAGCTAAACCAGTCCCTCACCCAGGATATCGCGACCAACTGTTCGAGCAACTACCAGACGACATCCGCAGGAGGCAGGGCTCAGCTGGGCGCTTTTTCTGAGCCAACTTTGACGTTTAGGGCCAGGGGGTAGGATACAAGTAGAGCAAGCCCATGCTGTGCAAGGTTTTGCTGGGGTTCAATCAGAGTTCGCGCCCAAGGGTTTGCACCGATTTTACAGTGCTGGGCAGACCCTCGCAACGTGCCCCGAGTTGAAGGCAACTTGAGCAGCTAATGCGCGAGTGGAATGCCGACATCGCCTACGTGTGCCCGCCTCAGCATTAGCTGCAGGTACTTGGAGGTTCATGGGTACTTTATAAGTGGCATTATAAGTCCCTAATTATATGGGTTATAAGTACAGTTACTCAAGTTTTCCCCTACTTATAACTAACCCTACACCCTACAATCCTATCTAAACCCTATACAGCCCTTGACGGAACACTACTTGTAACTACCCATGAACCTCCAAGTACCTGCAGCATCACCCCTAAACCCTCAAGTTTAAGGTTTCGGAGACTCAAAATCCAGACCAGCATTTTGAGGAAGAGCTGGTCTAAGTGTAAACCCCGAACGTTAGAACTTAATGACAGTGGAGCCTGGCAGGCAGAGGGGAAGGGCCCTGCCGCCTAGCAGCCCAGAGTTGTTTTGCGGGTTTCAACAACCGTCGTCTGACTCCACATAGCCCCCGTAGGATAACAGCCATTATGCGTGTAAATATATTATGTATATATATATATATATATATATATATATATTACATGCATGCATATGTATGCACACACATACATTTCGCAAGCAGTAACTATGACGCTATGATGAAGACACCCAACACTGTACAGATCTGTACAGTATCATATCTTCGTATCTTGAAGAAAAGATCCAAGCCCATCCTCAGCCCCCCCAGCTCGGCCAACCCCAAACCGGAAACCCTACTCCACGAGACGTAGTGGACCCTAAGCCGCCGACATAGCCTTTTTCTACACGCTTTCGCAGTGGAGAGCCTGCTTCCAAACAGGAAGCCTTGGAGACTGTCTCCAGCACTTGAAATTATAAAGGCTCTTATATAACTCACGGTGACCAAGTTGCATACTTATTGTAGGAAATGGTCACTGGAACCCAGCTGCTTCAGCTCCATGGTGCTATGCAAAGTACTTGAGAGCTGAAAGTACGAAGACTACAGAGGCTGACGCAGATAGGCCATCGTAAGGTGCTTAATTACATGTAGCTTTTTGGTTAGTTTAGGGTAGGTGGAACAGTGACCTGACCACCCGACGAGCTAATGATGCACGAGACTCCAGGGGTAAAAGGAGGGACCCTTAATAAGGACCCCTAGGTATATACCCTTAATATAGCACCCATTATATAGCCCATTATAGGGTAGGGGTCCCCGTTAAGGGTCCCTGCTTTTCCCCTTTGAGTGAAGACTGGCACGAGGTATCCGAAGCTCTTGGATGTGCAGCGCCTAGGCCATGGTGTGGGGCTGTGACGGAGCTTCGGCGGGTTGAGGGGTCACCCTCGGGTCTCCACAGTAGTTCCCTTTTGGGGTTACCTTATAGGATCCTAGTTGTACATTTGGTTGAACCAAAAAAGGAAGACTGTAGGCAGTTGCCTAAAGAGGAGGTGAGTAGGTTGTGGGAACTAGCGGTTCTGTAAAGGCAGTGCATTCAGGAACATAAGCTGTAGCTAACTGACCTCTTGGGGGAATGGTACTGCTGTACCCGCACTTGCTACACCTCCCACTTGCCACTGCTGTCAATATATGTGCGGTGCAAGTAGGAGCAGATGTTCCTGAGGCTGTTGCTGTTTTCGCCATCGATTTTCACACTCCTTGTTGTTATTATTTTTGCTGCTGGCTGCGGTTGTTGTAGAAGGACCTTGACAGGCAACCCCATACAACAGCCTCCACAACGAGTTGCGAAAGGGCAGCGCGCTTCCGATGCACCTCCTAATGGCCCTTGATGACTCACTCCGAAACCCAAGGCCCTTGCCGTTCAGGGTTTTGGGCTTATAGTGCTTCTCCGAGCTTACCCTCGGGATCAAAATAGCCCAAAAGCCTCATATGATATGGTCCTTGGGCCCAAAAGCCTTAGTATATGACTCCTTAGATCCCTAATTATAGGGTTATAGGACATCGGATTTAGGGTTTTTACGGACACTTCGGACAAGAGTTCGCCGATTCTCCCCCCGGCGGCATGAAGGGCAGCGGGGAGGAGGGTTTAGGTTTAGGGTTGAGGAACCCTGCTTGGAGGTTCATGCGTAGTTATAAGTGGGGTTACAAGTCCCTTATGTGGGTTATAAGTATAGTTAAGTATAGTTAACCCTGCTTATAATCCTGCTGATAACTACCATAACCTCCCAGTAAACCCTAAACCCTTAAGCCCTAAGCCCTAAAACCCTATCCTACAGATCCCTTTACAGGAACCCTAAACCCTACACCCATATAAAGGACCCTTTAAAGGACCCCTTATAGTACCCTTTTAAGGAACCTTTATCGCTACTCCAAGTACCTCCAAGTAGACCCCAAACCCTATACCCTATTTCATACCCATAATAAGGACTTCATAAGGCTTATTTAAGGAAGTATAGTTCCCTGCCCCCCTCCCCCCCTACCCCCCCAATGCGTCGACGCATTGAAAGCCTCGAAAGTCTTTGACCTGCGCCAGGCCCCCGGCCAGAGCTGAGCGAGCCGGGCGTGGAAGAGGTCCAGGGCTTTCTTACCTTTGGTTAGTAGGGAATGGAGGAATGGGGTACAATTATAACTACTATTACTACCATTCTTCCATTCCTTACTAACCAAAGGTAAGCTTTAGGGGTGAAGATTGTGCGGGTTTAGGGCCTATCATCTAGAGTTTTTTGACTGTAGGGCTTCGGGGTTTAGGGTTCAGGGCTTTAAGAGTTCAGGGCTTTAGGGGTTTAGGGGTTTAGGGCTTCGAGAGTTCAGGGCTTTCGAGCTTGGGGGTTTAGGGCCTAGGGTTTAGGGCTTTAAGAGTTCAGGGCTTTAGGGCTTTAGGGTTTAGGGCCTAGGGATTAGGGCTTTTGAACTTCCGGGATCAAATGGGTAGTTGTCAAACTTATGCTCCCTTTCTGGATACCCTAACTATTAGGTGCCGTATTATAATAAGGATCCCAAAAGGGACCATAATTCTGACAACCACCCAAGCCACAGTCTGAGAGCCCCACAGTCCCCCACCGTTCAGGGCCTAGGGATTAGGGATTAGGGATTAGGATGTAGGGATTAGGGTTTCGTAATTCTGACAACCACCCAAATGTTTGGGATTTTCGGGAGATTGGGACTTAGGGGCTTGGTTGCTTGTCGTTTGGAGGAAATCAGCCCGTCCCAGACCCAAAGCCCTGGATTACTAAACCTGCACTTTGGAGAAAGAGCCACTGCACTGAACAAAAAACTAAACCTTTTAAGCCTTAACGGTAAAACTTTGAACCTACTATTTACTGCCCCAGGCTTCTACAAAATCACCTTGAAAGCCCCAATACCACACACCCGAAACCCTAAACCCCTAAACGCTTAAGCCTTATCCCTAAACACAAGCCATATAAGCCATAAGCCTTAGGAGCTCAAGCCACCGGACAAAACCCTACGAAGAAGTCCAAAGACCAATGCCCCGGACTCCTCCTGAACCCGACGGTTTCAGGATTTTGGGTGTGGAGTTTCAGGGTTTAGGGTTTAGGATTTCAGTATTATTCAGGGTTTGGGGTTGAGGGTGTGTAGGTGTCAGGATTTACGGTTTGGGGTATGGGGTTTTGGAGCAACTGGAGCGTTCCTTCGAACTTCTCGGGACCCTAAACCCTAAAAACCTTAAACGCTTGAACCCTAAACCCTTGAACTTTAAACCCCAAGCCTGAACCTTCACCCCCAAATCTACATTGCTAGGAGAAGTTTTGCCTCAATCAGCGCTTCTACGTCTACGAGTTGGATGCTGCCTTCTACGGCGCCCTGATTCAAACCAGCCGATGCTCTGGTTTTGTTTGGTTCCCTGAACCAAACCAGCCGATGCTTTGGTTTTGTTGGGTTCAGGCGTAGCATTCAGGGATTCACTTTTAGGTTTGATTCGAGCCCCGGTGTTCCCTACTTTCTTCAGCTTGATGGACCAGTGCATGATGCTTTGATCCCCAGCTGAAACGCCCCAGTGTTCTCAGTAGGCTTCTCCTGCAGCGCTCCGAGAATATGGCCTTTATATAAGGGACCGGCGATGCGAATTGAAAGGTAAGGTTTTGTGCTCGGGGATTTAATTAATGTCGACGGAAGGTGATGCAAGAGCGAATGTTCAAAGGTTATGGCTTCGGGGTGTGAGGACTTAGGGCTTAGATTGACAAGTAATTAGGGTTCAAGGTGTAAGTTTTGTCCTTGATGCCTGGAGAATACGGTCCCAGCCAGCTGGTGTAAATGCTGTCTAGGGTCCTGGTCTTGAACCTCTAAACCCTCTACCCCTCAAGGAGAAGGGCTGAAGCTACCTTGAACCCTGAAGAGACCTACTTTAAACTTTAAACCCTCATGGAGAGAGACTGCTTAACCCGCAGCCCTAAACCCTTTAAACCCTGAGCCCTAAACCCTTTAAGCCCTATAACCCTAAACCCTAAACCCTTTAAGCCCTAAACCCTAAACCCTTTAAACCCTTTAAAGACCCTTTAAAGACCCTTTAAACCCTTCAAACCCTAAACCCTAAAAAAAAGAGGCCCTCAAACCCAGCCTGCGCCGTCTGCCCTCGACCAGGCCCCGGCACCTTCGGCTGCTTGTCACTCGGCCAAGTACTTGGGGGGTCGGGGGACTTAGTAACTGGTTATTTTAGGGACTTATAAGTACCATAACCCCAATTAGGGTCCCTTTTGGGTACTTATAAGTCTACTTACTCGGCCAAGTAGACTTATTGGCTGTAAACTTAACATGAATCGAGCCCTTATGGTCCTTAGTAGTGGGTATCTAGGGTTTATCTTATTGGCTGTAAACTCAACTTTTCGACTTTCGGGGTTCTTATAAGGTAGCCGATTCTGAAAGTTTCGACGTTTATTTCCTTGGCTTTTGGGCCAGTGAGTAGGCTGCATTCGTTTCTGCGTGCTGCCAGACAACAAGTCCGAGACCCCCGAGCCCTGATCCATACTCCATGAACCCTAAACTCCGACACCCTAAACCTGAAACCCTAATCCCTACTCCCTGAACCCTCAACCGCCACACCCTAAACCCTAATCCCTACTCCCTGAACCCCAAACCCCTGCACCCTAAACCTCAACAGACTAGCCTGGCTTATGTAGGCTGCTGCATTGGAGGTATTAGGGTTCGGCTGAAGGGCCCTATGCTGGTTTCTATAGGACTGTAAGGATACGATGGGTTTAGGGTTTAGGGTTCAGGATCGGGGTTTGGGGTTTGAGTTCCTTCTTCTGTGCGAAGGTCCGAACACCAGAAGAACGTATAATCAGAAGGCGAAACCTGTCAACCTGTCGTTCACTCCTTCATCAAAGTATACAATAGTATACAATAGAAAGGTCTGCGTAACATGACCAGGATTCTCGGAATGGCGATTTAAGTTAAGGATGTTGGGTTAATTATGGGTAGACAGCGCCCTAAACCGGCTAACAAACCTATATGCTTACATCATCAAACCATCACTCCTAAGCCAGGAACCCTAAATCCGCAGCCGTCCTCGAGTGAAACCACCCCGGGCTCTGGAACAGACTCCAGGATCATTCAGGAAGCCTTATCCAGAACCCCTAAACAAAACCCTAAACCCCTAAACCCTAAACCCTTTCGGGCACTCGTGCTCCTACACCTGAAGGCCAGAGCTCTTGACTCCCAACCCCCAAACCTAAACCGAACCACCACACCGTTGAACGGTCCTACCTAACCCTAAACCGAAGGTGTAATCTTGAAACTTTAGACCCTTGATCATACCCCAAATATTTTTGTCATGAAAGACATTGAATCCTTGTTAGACCCGTTAGAGACCCCCTCCACGACAAGGCAAGGCCAATGGGGCACTGAAGTACTTCTTCACCATTACTTCCGCACCTCGACCTAAAAGGGTTCCTCTAATGGTCCTACAAAACTCGACAAGGCTAGTAAAGGGTTCTATAAAGCTTGGTTTAGGTCTTCTTCAGGGCTGCATCACGGATTCTATGCAAGGGAATTACATGGGGATCGAAGAGGGGCCTAAGATTGGGGCCCACTTCTCTTCAGAAGTACTGAGGTCACAACTGCAATACGCCGGACGCGGATCAAGCGGATTGGTTCTATGTGCCGCTCTATGCAACCTGTATCTATGTTAGGCTCAATGCGACACTGAGCTGCAGGAGGAAGTAAACTTTTTGGATCTGAATAAGTTACTATAATGGCAGTCCGTGGTACCCGAGTAATTGTGTTTCATTTATAGAATCAAGCCCCCCAAAACCTGGTCCAAGCAATCAAACGGGAACATTAATGTCCGAAGCCCCTAAACCTGTGCTTGGGGATCCTTCGCACTAGGAATCCCAGCTTGGCAGCTATGTACTTTCGCCTTGACGGAATTTCGACTTTAGTAAGCCCGTGGAGTAATGTAGCAACCTGATTAAGAAATCCTGGGCCTATAACCCAAAATAAGTAGTAGGATTCACATAGTTATAAGGAACCCTAGTAAAGGCCCAAGGTTTTATTTGGGGTTCCTTTATCAATCTGGCTGTAGTATGCGCCAGAAGTCTTTCTTCTTGTTGAGGCTCTACAAACCCTAAACCCTGAGCCCTGAAGTCACAGCCCTGAAAACCCAAGCGAGCTAAAGCTTCAGCCCTTATGCTATAGGGGCCTTAATAAACAACTGTCAATACTGTTTTGGTGCATTCCTCATTTTAAGAATATATATATATATACACAGGTAGATGGATAGATAATGGAGTCTACTTCTACTGATGAAGGCCCCAATGTTACCTAACCTCTGATAGCACCCGTTACAGCACCCTTGTGACCCTGATTCAAAGCCCTTCTAGTAACCCACAGTATCGCGAACCCCGTCTTAAGAATCACAGCAAGCTTTAGAGTTTAGTACAAGGCAACGCACACACGGGCCAACTTTGAGTTGCAAAAGGTATTGAAGGACTGCTATTCAGTTGACCCGGCTGAACCCCACTCCCAAAGCTTAACTCTAAGCGCGGGCCTAGAGCGCTTAAAGCCGAAGTCCTGCACTCCAAGGAACATCACGGCCTTCGAGGACCACCAGGTGATCATGGAGTCTTGTTTGGCATTAGTCGGCATTAGTTTAGGTTAAGATCTCGGATCTGAAGGCTGTAAGTAGGCCCAAGTGGTAATTACCAAGTGGCGTCAACGTGTCTCGTGAAGCCCTGGGCCACGAGAGTTTTCCAGGCGAAGCCTTGGACCGCAAATTAACTACAAGCTATTTGGGAGTTTCCGAAAATAGGGGACCCTAATATAGTACCCTAAAAATAGTAGGATCCTTATTATCAGGACCCCAAAATAAGGCACCCCTATTTTTCGGAAACTCCCATTTCATACCCCTAGATATTGAGATACTATAGCCCCTGTGCGAAAATTATCCAACATAAACGCCAAGACCCCATTCCAACTGCCAAAGGTCCCGATATGAGGGCCCTAAACCCCTGAACCCTAAACCCCCTGAACCCTAAACCCTAAACCCCCTAAACCCTAAACCCCCTAAACCCTAAACCCCTAAACCCCTGAACCCTAAACCCCTAAACCCTAAACCCCTAAACCCCTGAACCCTAAACCCTAAACCCCTGAACCCCTAAACCCCTGAACCCTAAACCCTAAACCCTAAACCCCTGAACCCTAAACCCTAAACCCCTAAACCCCTGAACCCTAAACCTTAATCCCCTAAACCCTCTAAGCCCCCAACATCCCAAGCCCTGGTCACCAGCACGGCGGGCGCACAAAGGAGCTCCAAAAGTCAACTATAGTGGGTTGTATTAGGGTTCCTTTAAGGGGATATAGTGAGCCCCAGAAGCTTGGAACATGGATTGAGGTTGATTTGTGCTAGGATTCCCCCATACTTTACTTTAAGGGCACTGCTTGGAGGGTCGGGGGACTTAGTAAGTAGGTAGTAAGTAGACTTATAAGTACCCTAAAAGGGACCCTAATTGGGGTTATGGTACTTATAAGTCCTTAAAATAACCAGTTACTAAGTCCCCCTAAACCCTAAACCCTTACAGAACCCCTATAGATCCCTTTAAAGGGGCCCTTAAGGAACCCCTTAGACTTACTAAGTCCCCCGACCCTCCAAGTAAGCCCTAAAGTCCATACCCTAAACCCTAAACCCTAAACCTACTTTAAGGGCACTGAGGATCGGGGTGCTCCAACTCCCCTGGCTTCTGCTTGAAAGCCCTCAGGTGCAGACCCGAAACCCGCTCCGTTTACTCGGAGGTTCATGGGTAGTTAGAAGTGGGGTCATAAGGGTTCCCTCAAGGGTCCCTGTAAAGGGCTCTATAGGGATTAGGGTTTAGGGTAGTTATTATAAGTGGGGTTATAAGCCCCCTAATATGGGTCATAAGTACAGTTGCCCTACTTGTAACCCCACTTATAACTACCCAGAAACCCTCCAAGTAGGGTTTAGGGGTAAAGGGTTAAGGTTTAGCGTTTACATGGATCCTGAAGAACTTATCTTTTTAAGGACTTATATCAGGAAATCAGAGAAAAGAAAAGAAAGGTGCTTCAGGGTCCAGCTAGGGTTCAGGGTTTAGGGCGTTTGAGATCTGTGTTGATTTGAAGCTCTCATCGCCAATGGTGCTTGCCGTCTGGGAGTGAAGGTGCTACGGCACGAAGCCCCTCTTATGAACCTACCCATAAGAGAGGATGGGTGGGTGTCCCTGCGAGATGTGTGCTCCTTCATAGGAGAAATCACCCCAGCAGACGCTGCTGCCATAGTAGGCACCGCCTGATCCTCTCGACGGAGTCAGGGGACACCTGGCTCGCAGCGGTTTCGGACCATACTATCGCTGGCGTGGTAGGCCCAGGACGGGAATTGCCAGAGTATGAAATACCCGAGACATTGGTCCACGGGTCATATGCCAAGCATTCCAATAGCATTTTGCGAGAAGGGCTCCACGCAAGACGGGCCATCCATCTGCTGGCATGCGGATCAAAGCATGGACGCTGGCGTTCAGATATTGAGACGAGCGTCTTCGTCTTGGCACGGGAGGCAGCCAGGGTAGCCAAGGTGAGATTCTTGCTGACTACCAGCAGCATACAGGTCTATAAATAAACAAGTGTCAACATGTGCCTAAGTATATGAATCCAGAAATACAGCCACAATAACACGCAGCCCTATGTAATTACCCTTGGGCCAATGAGGACATGGACTCTGAAGGCCCCTATTTTACAGTAGCCCTTACAGACCCTTTCAGAAGAAACCCTATTCTAATTCAGGCACCTACACAGATCCCTTGTAGAATTAGAACCCTTATGCGAACCTTACTAGCCTTGTAATACCCTATAAAGGATCCTTCTTCTAATTATTGGCCCCTATAGTCACCATTGAGGACATGGATTCAGTCTCGACGAAGCACATCTTCGACCCGTTGATGGAGCTGCGCACTTGGAGGGCTTTGGTGCTCGAGAGTTTAAGTTTGAGGGAATACTTGGAGGTTCATGGGTGGTTGTAAGTAGGGTTATAAGCGGGGTAACGATACCTATAACACATATTAGGGGACTTACAACCCCACTTATAACTACCCATGAACCTCCAAGTAAGGTTCGAGGATGCGAGGGCTTCGGGTGTAGGGGCTTCTTTTTTTCTGTGGGATTGGGGTTCACAGGGTGTGTGTGTGTGTGTGTGTGTGTGATAGGTTCGCGGTGTTTTGGTGTCTTGGTGTCTTGAAAGGTGGTAGGAAGAGATTTGGTTGAGAGTTCAGTGCATTGGATGAGCAATAGTAAAGTAAGTTTTAGGTAGGCTAGGTACCTTCAAATCAGCGTATCGTTTCATAGCTCTAGGTGTAACCTGATTTCGCCCCCACCCCTCAATCCTTGGGCAGGCTCCCGGATTCAGGTTAGTATTAGGGCTTATAGGGTTTAGGGGTTTAGGGTTTAGGGCTTGGGGGAGCGGATGGGTGGTATAAGACCAGGACGATTGGAATCAGGGTTTCACACTTTCCCTGCAGAGTGGCCCCGGCAGAACCTGTAGCTACACAACCTGTATTAGTATAGAATCTTCTCAAGGCCGGCCAGAACAAACGATATTGCAAAACCCCACTTAATTCCATAAGACCCTAGACTCCAGAATCTAAACGCGCTCATAAGCTAAATCGGAACCCAAAAGCCTAGACCCTAAGCCTTTCTCGCCGAGGTTTCTGAAAGCCTCGAAGTATTTCCATCGCCGAGAGGGGTCGGACCCGGAATAATTAAAGACAGACAGTTTCGGTGTGAAGAGCATATTGCCATCTCTAAGTACCTGCATGTGTGCATCTATGTATAAATAGATAAATAAATAAATATATATATATATATACATACATATACATGTATATATGTATATAAGACAGATTCCAATGAACGAAGACTCTCGTAGGTGCAGACACAAACGTGAGGCACCTTCGTATACATTATCTGTTCACATGCTAATAGGGGCAGGAGCGCACATTCAGTTTGGGTCCCGGGCCAACATATCGAGTCACAGCTTAACCCTAAACCGTAAACCTAAACCCTAAATCCTAAACCCAAAACCCTCAACCATACAGATTGCCCCTTGGATCTTAAGCTGGGCCTCACAGTCTCGAATACCGACGTCTTCAACGCACAAGCTGCGTCCCTTAGCCCCAAAGCCGTAGCCGTCAAACCGCCCAAAAAATTGACACACACACACACACACACCCTGAAACTAAAGGACTTGTAGATTCCTTGAGGCACCGCGAACCCCAAACCCCTTCTTGGATTCGTAGATGCATCTCCCAGCTCGGTGTGGTGAAGGATCACATCTTCCTCTTCGCTGATGGTCAGGGGCCGCGCATTTGGGAGTCTAGGCCGCATTCGAAGGGTTTAGGGGTTTAGGAGTTTAGGGGTTTAGGGGTTTAGGGGTTTGGGGGTTTAGGGGTTTAGGGGTTAGGATTTAGGGGTTTGGTGGTTTAGGGTTTTATGGTTTCTTTCAAGGGATCTTTAAGTGCTCTTCTCGAAGGACCTGAAGGGTTCTGTAGGATGCAGGGTGGAGGGTACCGGTTTAGAGGGTTTAGGGTTTAGGGTTTAGGGTTTGGGTTTAGGGTTTAGGGTTTAGGGGCGTTCCGGGGCTTGATAAGAAGAGGCCGAATCAGCTGGAAGAGGGTTGAGATCCGCAATGGTTCTGTCCACAAACCAGCATGCCCCAGAACCCTCAATCCTAAGTCGAGAATGCCTTTACAAGCGCAATTGGAAACCCTCTATATAAGGGATCCCCTGCAGCAACCCTTTTTAGCACGCATCCCCTTTCGTAACCCTTAAAGTCTTCAAGGAACTCCTGTCTAAACGACCCTCAGAGTATTCCCTTGGAGGAACTCGTAAAGGATCCCTATAGTACCGCAAAACCCCAGACAGTCGAAACTCAAGGCTCGAGACTTCTTGGAGGTTCATGACTAGTTATAAGTGGGGCTACACAAGTCCCCTATAACCCTACTTATAACTACCCATAAACCTGATAATCCTACTATACCCTAAACCCTAAACCCGAATCCCTATAGATCCCTTCAAAGGGATCTCTAACGGATCCCTTCAAACTACCCATGAACCTCCAAGTTTGGTTTGGTAAACAGGGCCCGGTGACCTCAGCCTTTTACTCAACGACGGCCCTTGTCGCTACACTCCGAAAGGGCTCTAGGGGTTTAGGGCTCTAGGGTTTGGGGTTTAGGGCTCTAGGATTATCTATAGTCTCCATTGTAGTTCTCTTTTTTGATTAACCAGTTTTAGGGTTACAGTAAACCCCAGAAATTTGGAAACCGGATTAGGGCCAAATAGTGCTGCGATTCCCTATACAATACTCTTAAGGATGGAGGCTCTGGGGTTTCCAACTTTTTGGCTTCTACTGTAGGATCTTATACTAGAGATCTGGTTCACTACTACATAAGGGAGCTACAATGGAGACTGAAGGTAGGGGTTAGGGAAGCCTAGGCCGGAAGAGCTCTTTCAACCGATCCGAATCTTCCGCTGCTTCAAGCTGAAAAAAGATTTCCTGGTTTTTTTTTCAGAGATACCTAAAGTTTTTAAAGAACCCGAAACCCCTGAATTCTGGGTTAGGTGTTGGGTTATCGCATCTTGAGTTTCCTTCCAGAGCGAAGCTTTCCTGCAAGGTTTTCCTCGCAAAGACTTAACTCTCTGACACGCCGAAACCTTAGAGCTTTGAAAAGCTTCATGTCACTTAGGCTTCCGAGTTCAGGAGCATAAGCCCTATTCACTCTAGACACATGTGGGAGTTTCCGAAAATTGGGGAGCCTAATATAGCACCCTCTATAGTAGGATCCTTATTACAAGGACCCCACAATAAGGTAGACCTAATTTTCGGAAACTCCTATGTATGTCGCAGCCCCTTGAACGGTAGACCTAAGCCCCGAGGTGGGTTTGTCAGTCCGTGGTTCTCATATGGGAGTTTCCGAAAATAGGGGGACCCTAATAAGGGTTCCTTTAAGGGATCCAAGGGTTCTATTAAGGGTTTAGGATTTAGGTTTGGGAGTTTCCGAAAATAGGGGACCCTAATAAAGTACCCTGTATAGTAGGATCCTTACTACAAGGACCCCAAAATATGGTACCCCTCAGAAGCACCCGTATAGGTTGACACCTAGCCTGGAAGTCCGCAGGAAGTAAACTGCATCCAATGCGAGAACTCACCTTTGTCAATGGATCTATGGAATTGAAATGTTTTGAACCTGAGTATGTCGGCTAGAGTGGCCCACCACATGTAGGTTGTAGACAAGCTACTTATGAGTCTGACTGTAGCATTTACTGATTCGGCCACTAGCTGCCCTGCTGACAGCCAGAGTCCAAAATTCTGAGCATTTCTTTCATGTCAAGTGGATGCAGGACAGCTACGACATGCTGCGAAGTGAGTCGGTTTTCATCTCGCCAGACATTTGTCTGCAATGAGATCAGGGCTCGGCATTGGGGTATGAGGTTTTATTCGTGGGGCTTAGGGGTGCGCAAGTTGCACATAATGTGCGCATGTGTATGTATGCATATCTATCTGTGTGTGCGTATGTATATATACACGAACATAAACACATGTTGTGCACGTAAGCACACATGAATACATAGACAGAGAGAGAGATGGAGACGTGTCTCAACATGCATGCAAGTGCGCATGGTATTGGTACGGGCCCCCCAGGTCGAAAACTTCACAGCCCCAAAGCTCTCCCTTGGAGGTTCATGGGTAGTTATAATGTTAGGGTTTAGGGTATAGGCTTGTAGGGTTTAGGGTTTAGGGGTAGTTCTAAGTAGGGTTATAAATAGGGTAACTCTATTTACAACCCATATTAGGGGACCTATAACCCACTTATAGCTACGCATGAACCTGCAAGTATAGCCTCCATCGTAGTTCCTCTTTTTGGGCTTTAACCGAATATACAATTAGGATTCAATTTTGATCCTATAAGGTAACCTCAGAAAGGAACTGCAATGGAGACTTTTGGTAGAAAGCGTTTTCGAGTCCATGCAAACTGGTCCCACACCCCGTCGAAGCTGTAAGTCGCCACAGCTGAATCCACCCTACACCCTGAACACCGCATGACCCCCTGAAGTCACATAGCACGCAGACATACACAATATATATATATATATATATGTATGTATATGTATATGTATATGTATATGTATATGTATATGTATATGTATATGTATATGTATATGTATATGTATATGTATATGTATATACATACATAGATACATATATATATATATATATATATATATACACATGTGTAAATATATATATATATATATATATATATATATATATATATATATGCACACATACACTCGCTCAGGAGAGTCGGTGTCCAACCTGGTCAGAACCCCTCCGGCGCTACGCCGATGTGAAGCGCTGCTTGAGTGGTTGGAAGGAGCTTTTGAGGTTCAGGGATGTACCGAGACGTTCCAGAATCATTCTAAGGAATATACCTTATACTATCATAGGATCCCCAATATGATTCAAGGTCTCTTCCTTATTTCATGGATTTTGGAAAGATCGGGCTACCGTGTTGTTGTCTTAAACAGTTTGATTTCAGAGGACCTTCGATGGCTTGACCAAGGGTTTTTGCGCTTTCGAGGGACTTGAGGCACGGATGTAAGCTCATTGGCATTTCGAATAAACCTTGGAACAACCCTTGGGAGCTTTGTTGAATCGGGGCAGTTTCAGGGTAAGGGATTGGCAAGTTAAATAGGTTTCACTTAAATCCCAAAACCACTACACTCCTAAAGCCGTAAATTGGACGAATCGAACGACATCGGAAAGTCCGTTATGCTTCCGAGGCAGCAGATGAGGGCGCGAGCCTCCGTCGCGCGAACTGTGGTGTTGATGGGAGCGGCCCGGGGAAACATTGCGTGGGACATGTGAAGCTCATGGAGTTTACAAAGGACATCGGACTCGGCCTGCAGGCGAACTTTTCGGTGGAAGATGTTTTGGGGATGGCCGTGGAGGAGCTCCACCGACCTTTGCAGGCGCCGGACTGCGCTGACCGCTGCACGTACATATTCCGTCAGCCAGCAGGCGAGACGACGCAGCGGAGCAACACCTTGGACGACCCGGAAGAAATCTCTCTCAGGCAAAGGGGGGCGCGCATGTTCCAAGCAGGCACGGTTCATAGAGAAAGTGCAATACCTCGCCTTGCAAACTGGTGGGAGCTCGTGAGCTTTGGCCTCCTCTGCAAAGACGACGGCCTTTCGCCGGCGGCGTACGTAAACCGCGAGGCCGTGAAGGCCTGATGTCCGATGGACAAGCATTGGGTCAACCGCTAAGATTTTGAACGCGGAAGGCGCGCGGACAACTGGCCGCAAGAAGAAAAGAGACAGAGAGGGAGGGTACTTTGAACCTAATTAACTTAAACTATGGCCCGTGCGCCTTAACCCCGACACATGATCGAGCTCCCTAAGAAGAGCCCATGTCGGAACTTAAAGACGTGATACAGAAACTTGAGCAGCTACAAATCCGACTTGTCTTGATGTTCGTTATGGTATGTGTGTGTGTATGGATATAGACATACATATCGTATATGTATATATGGCACCCCCCGGGATCGACCTCTCTGTGTTACTTAGCAATACTACATGGTGCAGGCTTACACTTGTTGTGGTATAGAATTATCCCGGATGGGGAGGTGTCCGACGAGCCCTGTCTCTGCCCCACAAGCCGGTATCTGTGCCTGATAAGCCCTATCTGTACACACAGTGCAAGGAATAATATGGTATTACAGTTATTGTGCCTCGTCGGTCGTCAGTCATTGCGACTCGTGGTACCTCCTGCCGGGGCTGAATCGGCCCGATTGAATTTGAATCGAGTCGACTCTGCTCCAAGTGCGTTCGCCCACACATTCCTCCCGCAGACTCTCTTGGATCACGCCCCTCGCTTAGGTTCCTGTGACACTTATGTCGACCATGTCGGGGATTGCGGTGTCTGGTTCGGTCTCGTTCAAGGATGGCACGGGCTTCTTCGGCTGCACCGCCATCAAACATCTCGGTGGGCCCTGGCACTAGTCTCTTGGAAAAGATTCGGGACGGCTCCGTGAAAATTCATCCGTCCCGGCTTCCGACATCCTCCACCGACGTCCGGGTTCTGTGCAGCCAATTCGGACTGTCAATTGGAGTGGATGGCGCTTGGAATCCCCGCGCCGATGCAAGCCTCTCACATGTGCGACAGAAGAAGAAGAAGCGGGACAACAAGCGCAAGGCGCTCGCCTTTGAAGACAGGCCCCACAAGACCCTTGCCATTGAGGAGATTCCTGAAGCCAATCGACACGACACCCAGACCAACGATGGCAAGGACCGCATCGACGTCACCATCGCCGCCAATGTACATCCTCCAGAAGCGCGTGCGGCCGCCGTTCCGCATGAATAGCAGCCAGCTCAAGAGAAAGGCCCAGGCGACGACAGCGACACGAAGGATTCCTGCAGCCATTCGTCGTCATCGGTGTCGGACTTTGTGCCTGATGTCAACACCTCGACCTGGCCGAGCGACTTCCATGATGCCTATGAGTGCGGTTTGTGCATGTTGGACGCCGGGTTCGCGGAGAAGAGCGCCCGCTGTGCTACAATCAAGGTCATCAGAGCCGTCGCGGAAGCCAAGAAGGCCTTTGGCGGTGTCTAAGAAAGCAAGCGCGACCTGCCAAAACACGTGTGGTGTGCAGTGCGCCTTGCGCCGTGATAGCATAACGTGTGTCTCATCCTACAAGTAATCATGAAACAGAAGCACATGGCACATGGAGCATGTATTGCAAAGTGCCTGCGAACCCGCTGCCCAGTGCGCCTGAAAGCATCTCCCGCGTAGTGCTCCTTTGCCGTCGTCGCCTTGTTTCTGCAATGTCCGGCCACTTAAAGGATGTTGCAATGCCGGCTTCCGCCGACAACAGTCGGTGGCAGCTCGCCCACAATGCGACAACTGCGAGCCAGCTGAACCTCTTACCCTCAAAGAGTTCCTGGACGGTGCTTGCCGTCCCTGTGGGGGTGGGAGCGGTCCCAAGTTCATCATGGGTCTTGTTCGAGACCCATGTCTCCATGGTCGAGTGTGGTCGTGCTTCAACTATCGGCGATGCAGTTGCGAGAGGCCTTCTTGATGATCTACCAGAACCTCTCCGGTTCAGGGACCACTTGCCCGCGGCTGCTGAGGTGGAGATCATCGTCGGGAACCTTGGTGACGGGCTTGTCGATGTGGTCAAGATTGTGCACCTCGACACGGCCGTCTCCGCTCAGACAGCTGCCGCCTTGGGAAGCTTTGGGCCACGAATCATCTGAGGAACCGGCGTGTCGTATTCCATACCGATTCCACGAAGAGCTATAAGCTCCCAGTGGACGGTGTTCTGGACGTTCACGTGGTCCATGCGAAAAATGGGTGCTGGTGAAGGGGCAATTCATTGGGAAGGCTTCCAACCCTGTTAAAGTCGTTGAGCACCGTGTGCCTGGCCGCAAGAGCCGCCCAGGGTGAAGGCGGGGACCCAGATCATCGATCGGGCCTGGCGCTTCATGAAGGATCGAATTTCCTTCAATCAGCATATACCCGGGCTGGACTTTGCTTCTGCGGAGCAAAATTCGTTCAGAGCACGATTACTGGAGACGAGGCACTGGCTTTTGGCTCGAGATGGGGAAGATCTGCACATGGTTCATGCAGACCTTCGTGCAGCCCATGTGATTGAGGCTTTCAGTTCCGCGAAACAGTTTTGACACTCTCAGACTCGACCTTCGCTCGCGCCGACGCAAACACTCGCAAAGTCGCACACCATAGTACACAGCGTGACTCTTTATCTTCCGAAACACACAACAAGTTAGATCCCGTGGGGGGGGCGGGGGTGCATGTATATAATATGATTATCTGATATACAAAAATACTATAATAGAATTAAGATAATACTATATTATAGAACAAAATATATCATATGTTTTTATATATTATATTATATAGTAAAGTATTATAGATTACAATGTAATACAATATGACACATAAACAAATGTAGCTATATAATCATATACGCAATGTATGTACAACTTAAAACTTAAAACTATTCCACATGTTCAGTTAAAGCTATTCCACCACATATTCAGGTCTTTCACCCTTGCCACAGCCGTGCACAGATGGAAAGACTTCCGAAAAACATGCGTTCTTAGGACTTAGGGCTTGCGAATTCAGGGTTCGGGTTAGGCTTTCAGGTTAGCGAGTCCATGTATGTCAAGTTGGGGTTTAGGATTTAGGCTTGTGAACTGTGGGTTTGAAGGTGTATATGGTCAGGATGTAATTTCATGATCCGTAAGTTGCAGTCGATCTTAAACCCGAAGTTGTCAGGACATTGTGATTCCTGGCCATACGGACTACGCCAGGATTCAGTACATGAAGAGCCGCGCTGTCCGCAATAATTCAGTTGTCGAAGTCCCGGGGCTTTAAGATTTGTTTCGTGGATTCTTGCTTTGTGTTTTACAGGCTCTACAGGGGTTCGGGGTTTCTGGGATTAGGATTTACAGTGTTGGAAGCAGTTTGGGACCAGGTCAAGTGTTCTTACACAGCCCCCCGCTTGTAAACTTTAGTCAAGTTCACAAACTAGTCTCACGCCTGAAACCCCAAACCCGAAATTTAGGATATTTCCTCACACCTTACGCCCTAAACTCCCTAAAAACCTGAGGCAGAAATCGGCGCACTGCAGATCGAAGGCGTGCTGGGCTTTGGTTCAGAGTATTCAACTGCACAAAAATTCGGAAATTGTCAATTCCGTTGTGTTTTTTAAATTTGGATTTCTGGACATTGAGCTGCGGAAATCCTGAACTCTTTGCGGGTTTCTGCTCTTGATTCACCCATCGTTTCCCACGGCTTCCCCTCAACTCAGAACAGCCAGACATGAAAGCACTCATCCTTCACACATCAGCAATCCGTAAATTTGCAAAGCAACCCTGTCCCAAAAAAAGTCTTGCAGTCGAGTCACACGACGCCGCATATACGCATATAAGATACTTACACACGTGCACACGCATGCATTCACGCATGCATATATGATCATATATATATATATATACATATACGTACAGCGGGTCGGTCGGTCGGTCCGTCAGTCACTCAGCCAGTCAGCCAGCCAAGCCAGTCAGCCAGCCAGTTCAATGCGGTTTTTGCGTCTTGGAGTCCTAAGCTTAAACCCCACAACCGTAAGCAAGCTGCATGTATGTTCCGACCACAAAGTTTCGACTTGATGAGCTTTGCCGTTTCCGCTGACTGAGCAACAGCGGCAGTATTTACGTACGTGAGCGTGGGTTCTTGGAGCCAGCATTGACTCCCAGGTCCACAAATCACTTGCCCAAAACCCTAAACCCAGAAAGCCCTAAACCCTAAACCCCTAAACCCTAAACCCCGAAAGCCCTAAACCCCAAAGGCGGCTTGCAAGAGTTTCGACATTTAGCACTCGGGGTCTGGGGTGTTCCGCACGGACATCCGAGTTCAGATTCAATGGAGCCCTAAACCCTGCATCCGTAAACCCTCAGCCCTACGCCCTGAACCCTAAGACCTCAACCTAACCTTGGTAGCTGAGTGGATACACTTTACTATACAACTGAAAGTGTACACTTTTTGGGGCTTATGAACTCAGCAACTAAGTAACAAGTCTCGGATGGAGACTCCCGAGGGTTCCATTTAAGGGTTTTGGGTTGGTCCTCCTTTTGCCTGATGGAGGCTGCTGCTCACCTTCCATGGAAGAGCACCCGGTGCCACTCCGCATTTTTTGAGGGGTGCCGATACAACTCGAAAGAGGCATCCATAATCGCAGGGGGTGATCTTAAAGCCAAGGGCATAGTATAACAGGGTCTGTATAACAAGGGCCCACGATTTTCGGAACATTTAGGATTTAGGTCCGGGACCCGCAGTTCCTGAACCTCCCCTCTCTCTTTCATCTCTTGCAGGTTCGTGTCTGAGTGGATCGTGCATTTCAATCTGCAGGCATTCGGGTTTAAGGTTTAGGGCTTCCAGAGACTCCAAAAACCCTGACCCAAGGAGTATACCTCAAATCTGGTTTGGGTTTCTGGCAAGATATGTGTGTATGTAGGGTTTTCGCATATTCCAGCATTCTGAGATATGAACTTGGGTCCATTAGGGCTTGCCGAGTCTGTCGGCTTAGACGCGTCCGGATATCATGCAGCTCATCTCGCAACCGGAAGATAAGCTCTGTGCAGGTCTAACGATGCTTCTGCTTGTAGCTGGTATTGCTTCGATGAAGAAGGATGTCCCTAAGAGTCCATGTACCCAAATGGTGTATACTTCGGCCCTAAAGTGCCTGTAGTGACTGTAGTGGATTACTTCCAGGCCAAAGTATATACTGTATGAGTACATGGAGTGTAAGGTAAGGTACTTCATAATCGGAAAAGGCTTCGAGGCACATTGATGGCATGATATGAAATCATGTCCTAAAGGGTCTTTCTAGTCGTCCAGACCTCGATGTTGCTCCCAGGCAGCCCACATTGTCAATGGTGTAGAGGATACCACAACGGATGGAGTCACAACTGCGTCGTGTCGAGGCTACCTTACTGCCATCCGCCGTCTTCATCGCTGTCGTCATCGTCGTCCATAGCAGTAGCAGTAGCAGCAGCTGCAGTAGCAGTACCAGCAAAAGCAGCCGTAGCATTTGCAGCACTAACGATCGTGGTGGTAGAAGTCGTGGTCGCCTTCGTCGTCGCATAGGCAGTGGTGGTGTTGTAGGTGGTGGTGGTGGCGGCGGCGGGATTTAGTAGTGCAGAACTTGCATGGCGAAGCTTGCTGTTGTTCAGCTTCTGCTACGGCTGACCGGTGAAAAAAATCCTAAGTCCCACGAATGAAACAGACGCTGGATGTCACTACATGTGTAAGAACTTTTGTAGTCCAACTCATGTAGAGTTACTGCGGCAAAAGGGCCCCTCTTCCCCAGTGTAAGCGTCTGAATATTGCGGTCCGGGGGACTACATTGTGTGCTTATCCCTTGCCCCCGCTGCGGAGCTCGCGCGTCCACCAATGTAAGGACACTGGGTTCTTGGTCAATGTAACAGCATTTTGCAATGTCTAAGCAGTACTAAGCTGATGCATGTAGTCTCAGACGATACATACCTACATATAGCATCGGTAGAATTTTCAGTAATATAGCGGCCTAAGTAGTCACCAATACTATTTTGGGGGTTCCTTATTATGAAAAAATATACTGGGCCCCCCAAACTCCATTCTAATTTAAGGCTTGACACCGGCAGCCTAAGGCATGTCCCCGGCATGAGGATGATCATGCCCATGATCATCCCCCCCCACCCCCCCAGGCCCGATTGATCATCATTTCCAGGCCCGATTATAGGTATAGATCATAGATGATACTAATTTACTAATATAGTTATATTCAATACAGTAGTTTACTTCGTCTTGAACAGCCTCGCAGACTTCAGGCTCGAGGGTAGGGTCCGACTATACAACTCCTAATTAAACCTCAAACTTCCCACCGAATCCCCCTTTAAACTTTCAACAAAGCCTTGAACCCTCCTAACCCTAAAGCCCTAAAGTCGCTGGCGCTGGCCGTGGCTGCGGTCGCGTCGAGGCCGTGGTTTAGGTTTAGCTCAGGTTAGGGCTAGGGTTTAGCTCGGGCAGGGTTTTGGGACTTGGGGTGGTTTAGGTTAGGTTAGGGCCAGGGTTTAGCTCGGGCAGGGTTTTGGGACTTTGGGTGGTTTAGGCTAGGTTAGGGTTTAGCTCGGGCAGGGTTTTGGGACTTTGGGTGGTTTAGGTTAGGTTAGGGTTTAGCTTGGGCAGGGTTTGGGACTTTGGGTGGTTTAGGTTAGGTTACGGTTAACGGTTAGGGTTTAGCTTGGGCAGGGTTTCGGGACTTTGTGTGGTTTAGGTTGGGTTAGGGTTTAGCTTGGGCAGGGTTTCGGGACTTTGGGATTAGGGTTTAGCTTGGGCAGGGTTTCGGGACTTTGCGGGTTTGTTTTCGGTGGGGCAGGGTTTTGGGTTTTGGGGATTTGGGGATTTTGGTGGGGTTCTCAGCCTCGTCATGCAAATGTCACGACCTTCGGGTCGTGGCTGCCGCAGTCTTCGGACTGGGGCGTCACAGCCTTCGGGCTGTGGCTGTCACAGCCTTCGGGCTGTGGCTGTCACGACCCTCGGGTCGTGGCTACCGCAGTCTTTGGACTGCGGTGTCACAGCCTTCGGGCTGTGGCTGTCACAGCCTTTGGGCTGTGGCTACCGCAGTCTTCGGACTGCGGCGTCACAGCCCTGGGCTGTGGCTGTCACAGCCTTCGGGCTGTGGCTGTCACGACCTTCGGGTCGTGGCTACTGCAGTCTTCGGACTGCGGCGTCACAGCCCTCGGGCTGTGGCTGTCACAGCCTTTGGGCTGTGGCTGTCACGACCTTCGGGTCGTGGCTACCGCAGTCTTCGGACTGCGGTGTCACAGCCCTCGGGCTGTGGCTGTCACGACCCTCGGGTCGTGGCTACCGCAGTCTTCGGACTGCGGTGTCACAGCCCTTGGGCTGTGGCTAGCGCAGTCTTCGGACTGCACGTCACAGCCCGAGGGCTGTGGCTGTCACAGCTTTCGGGCTGTGGCTTCTGCATGACGAGGCTGTTGTTTCGGGGTTAAGGGTTCAGGGCTTAGGGCTAGGGTCCAGGAGTTAAGGGTCAAGGGTTCAGGGTCAAGTTTAGGGTTTGGGGCAGAGTTCAGGGTGTAAACTAGGACTTAACACCCAAACATCTTGCCCTAAACCCTGGCCCTAGCCCTAGCCGTAGCCGTAGCCCCTAAAAGCCCTAATAATAAAATAAAAGTCCCTCCTAAAGGCTTTTAACTAAGTAACCGAACCTTTCTTTTTAATCTTTAATTCTCAAACCACAAACCGTAAACTACAAACCCTTGACACTCAACCCTAATCTAAGCCTGAACCTTGACATTAGTTTTCACTGTCGGTATTTGTTATATTATATCATTTTATTCAACCCCGTCTGTTCATCCTCAATTTCCTTGTTAGCCTTAAACCAAACCCTAAACCCTCGACCCTCGTGCCTAATCCCTTAACCCTAGGATTAGCTCCCAGGGCCCTCAGCCCCATTTGTTTATCCTTAAATAACCCCAAACCTTAAGCCTTAAGCCTTAAGCCTTAAACCTTTGCACCCTCCACCCTAATCCCAAACCCTTAACCCTGAATTGTGGAGACCCGGACCGCCATGCAGCACGCCGTCGCCCGGAGAAGGTGCCACCCGGGTTTGGGATGTTTGGGTTCGGGTCAACGGGGCCGGGTGAGGTGCTGGGCAGACCTGAATGGATTCGGAGTTCTGGGTAGTTCTCTATAATTAGGGGATCGGCGACGGGATTAGGGATCAGGAGTCTTCACCCTGGCATTTCACGGATCATGGGTGAAGGGGTTGAGGTGTTTTTCAAGGGGGTTCTGCGGGCATTTTTTTATTATAGGAAGGGTGAGTTGTATGATGATGCTAATCCTGAGCCCGAAAATAAAACCTGTGCGGGCTTCTTTCTGGCTTGGTAGGAGGGAAATCAGCAGCCCCAGAAGCACCCAAACACATACTCCCGAGTGGGATATCCCTATCTAATTGGCATAATGTCAGAGGGGATTCTGGGATGGCACCACCTCACGGTTCAGGTCCTAGTTTATGGGTCCTTCGAAAAAACATAAGACCCAAATACAAGCCACGACCCCTTTATTCAACCCTCACCTCTAAACGGCACTGGAAGATTCATGTCATGTGCAGCATTGGGCTTCAAGCCACGAAGCCTGGGGAAGGCCAAGGGGCAATTCGGAGTGCTTTGAAAAGCTGCATATAGGACCTAGGAAGCCGTAAATGACCACATCATCGGTTGATCGACTATGACTATGTGATTATGACTAGTGAGTGATCCGACTCAAAACCCCTGGGCCCTAGTTGCCCTTTTGATCGACTATGGTCAGTGATTAGTAGTGACTTAGTAGTGACTAAGTGAGTATTGGTCCGACTAGTTGCCCTCGGTCCGATTCAAATTCTTTTGCCATGGCCTCTTCTTCAAAGTTCGATGAGGATCCCCCGGAGGAGGAGGAGTCCCAGCAGGAGGACAAAAAGAAGAAGAAGAAGAAGAAGAACAAGGACGAAAAAAATAAGAAGAAGAAGAAGTCCGACAAGAAAGACGATGACAAGAAGAAGGTTGGCAAGAAAACGGACCAGAAGAAGGACGGCCGCAAAGAGGGCGAGAAGAAGAAGGACCCTGGGCCCGAGAAGAAGGAGAAGGACGACAAGCAGAAGGAGGAGAAGAAGAAGAAGAGGAGAATCCATCGGCTTCTGGGCCTATATGATTTCATTTCTGCTTTGGGCTTCGTTCATGCCACATCAGGAAAAGGAAGGTCGATAAGTTAGTACTTACTTATACTTATTACAAAGAATGTGAGATGTATGCCATGTATGCCAATGTATGCATTATCGGCAGGTCCGATTGGGCAACAAGAAGGGCTCCAACTTCATGGCCCCGGTCTCTTTGTCTGGATTCATCTGCCTCTGTGGTTCTTGTCGGTTCCCTGAGTTGAGGTAAAAAAAGTATTCAAAGCACACCATGGCAAAAAGTTGCTAAGCCAAGCCAAGCACAATTCGAGGACCCGAATTCCAAGCGATCCCAGAAGCGGAGGGTGCAGCAGGAGCGTCGGGCTACCCCGGGCCCGAAGGCTTTGCCCGAGCCTGCAACCCCGAAGGGTCCGAAGGCTGGCTCGGCTGCTTCGTCGGGGTCGCGTG